TGAGACTTTTTGAGCCATGCTTTGAGAATCATGATCAAGAATTGATCAAATGATGTTTGTAGCTTCAAAATAAGATGTTGACCAAAAATTTTGACTTTTGACTGTCAAATGACCATTTTGCCCCTGCAGTTGACTGTGAAGCATTTAGGGTTTTTGACTGTGCAATTTGATGATGTGAGTCTTGAAACTTGGCATATGGATGCTTGACAATATATGTAGGCATGTGGGACTTGTTTGGACCCTTGGAAACTTCAATTTCTTTGCCATCACCAAAACCCTAATTTTTGACTGTTAGGAGGCAATTGGACTGTGCAACCTTTGGGAGATTTTGAAGCATGATCTTAGCAAACCTTGAAGAATATGGGAGGGCAAATTTTGGGGTGCAACAGTTGGCTTTACTGATCTATGGGTTGGTACTATTCCCTAATCCGGACCAATTCATAGATATGAATGCCATCAAAATATTTCTCACTCATAATCTGGTACCTACTTTACTCGGAGATATATTGTGTTCCCTCCATACTCGTACTATGAAGAAGCGAGGAACTCTTATGTGTTGCGTACCTCTACTATTCAGGTGGTTTATTTCACACTTGCCCCGATCAGTGATAAAGAATGAACAAGGTTTGAGGTGGTCTCAAAGGTTGATGTCGCTCACTCATGCAGATATCCATTGGTGTTCTTGATCTCAGACAGATGTCACTATTATTGATCGATGTGGGAATTCCCTAATGTAACTCTCCTTGGTATAAGAGGGGGAATCACTTAGAACCCTTCTCTACCTCTGCGTCAGTTTGGTTATGCTCGAAGGGATGGTCCTCATGATATGCTCATCCAGGAAATTATGTTTGACTATGGGAATGATCCTCAATATTACCATCAAAGGTTTGTACTTGCTTGGGACACAGTCAACAAGATTGATACTAAGACTTTGGGACACAAGAATTTCATTCCTCTAGAGCCTTACCTCAGATGGGTGCGGTCTCAAGCTCATAATGTTAAAATTTTATATCCTGCTATCTTACTAGTGATCGTAGAGCCTATTTTTGAAGGAGATATTTCTCATACCGTTCTTCATCCCGATATGCCTACCAACTTCGAAGAGCTACAAAAATTATGGGTTCATCTTAACGAAGAAAGAGATACCTTCGAAGCTCAGTTTTATGCTAGTGAGAAGAAAGTACTGAAGCTGATGAAACGACTCCACAAAGAACAAAGCCTTAACGCATATGTCAACACAAAGAGGAAGCGTCCATGGGATATTTGAATTTATATTTTTTGATATTTTGTAACTCTTTTTATTAAAAGCAATCATAATTTGAGCTTATTACTAAAATTTCTCTTGTTTCCTTTTGTTTAAACAAATTTAAATCCCGCCACGATTCTTGAAAACATTGCATCTACATATCATGCATCATTACATAACAGGTTTTCCCATACATGTTTTCTTATCTTCTTGTTGTTTATTTCAGTAAAAGATGGCTCTTGAAAAAACTGTTAAGGAACTCCAAGCTCAGAATACCCAATTCCAGGAGACCCTCCTGAATCTTGCTCAAGGACAGAAATATATGATGGCGCTCATCGCCCAAAAGAAGAAGACTCAGAAGCCAATTTCTATTCTCAACATGGGAAGAATATTCAAAGGTCCAACTAAACCAGTTCAAACAGCTGATATCACTTATGATGAAGATGGCAACCAAGAGGAGGATGGTAGGAGTGTCAGGGCGGAAGGTGGAAGCAACCTTGTTTTTGGTAGGATGCCTGAGGACGAAGACTATTATGATGAACAGTATCCTTCTACCGACGATAGATACAAGCAGCTAGAAGACCGTCTTAAGACTATGGAAATCCAGAAAGTGCCTAGATTGGACTTCAGAGAGTTGGGTCTTATTCCGGAGGTAGTTATCCCTCACAAGTTCAAAGTCCCTACTTTTTCTAAACATGATGGTGTATCTTGTGCAATCCTATGTTCGGAAGATCCAACCTCATACTACTGACAGAAATTTATGGGTTCACTTCTTTCAGGAAAGTTTGTCTCGTACACAACTCGAATGGTTCTATTAGCTGGAGGAAACCAACATCCATACTTGGGAAGGCTTGGCTGCTGCTGTTTACATGCATATAAATACAATGTTAACCTTGCACCAACTCGCCTGCAATTACAAAACATGACTATGGGTTCAAATGAAGGGTACAAAGAATATGCCCAAAAGTGGAGAGACTTAGCTGGAAGGGTGCAACCTCCCTTGTCAGACCGGGAGCTATTTGATATGTTCATGGGAACTATGACAAGTCCATTCTTTAATCATCTGATTGGAAGCTCCACATCTGGTTTTACTGAGCTGATTCTAACTGGAGAGCAAGTTGAAAGTAGTATTAAGAGCGGAAAAATTCAAGTGGTTGCGTCTTTGAGTGTTGTGAAGACATTCAATGGTAAGAAGGATACCAATGTTGTCTATGGCCAGAATGGATATTGTAAAAGTGACTGCAATCAGTCTGTGGGAGAGGTATTGATTTCTAATCATGCACCTGTTCAACAACAACAGGGTAATAGGTGTACGTCAGATGCTCCGGGAAGGCAGTTTACCAAGATTAATATGTCATTGTCTCAGGCGTTACAACATTTACTGAAAGAGGAATTGATAACATTGAGGGATCCTCCTCAGAATCCTAACACATCCTCTCCTAAGTACAATCTGAACGCGAGATGTGCCTATCATTCCAACAGTCCTGGGCACAACACCAAAAACTATGGAGCCTGAAAAACAAAATTCAGGACATGATTGACAATAAGGAAATTGAGTTCGATCCTCCAGAGGTCGCGGATGTGATTAACATGCCTATGTCGAAGCATGACAAAGGCGTAAGTGCAATTGATGATATTATTTATGTTGCTACTGTAAGTGAATTGATGACCCCCTACCAATTATCAAGAAGAATCTGCCGCAGGCCGGTTTATTTTCGGGCTGTATTGAAAAATGTTACTGCTGCGTAATCTGACCCAATGGCTGCAAATTATTGAAGGAAGGCATTTAACTCCTAATGGACAATCATATAATTCTGATCGAGAAGGTTCCGTCTGCCGAGAATCTATGTCAAGACTTATTTGTAATTTCTGGTCATCCTGTCAGGATCACCTCCAAAGGCCCTGTAAGGATTACTGTCAATCCGAAAGCTTCTCTGTTGATCATCACTACACCTGGACCTATCCCATATTCTTTGGATAAATCTATTCCTTGGAATTATGGATTCAACGTCTACTATCATGGCGTCAAACAAGAACTACCGATCGTTGAAGATGAAGTTACGGAAGTTGTTGACCTCGGTATTGACTATATTGCTGGAACCAGTAAAGTCACTAGAAGCGGAAGGGTTTTCTCTCTGAAAATCTCTCCGAAGACTATTACTACACTTGTTAGAGTTACAACCATCGAGTCAACTGTTGAGGCTCGGGGTAAAGAACAAATAACAGAGCCTGCCCAGACGAAGGCACCTAAGGAAGCTACAATTGAAGACACCTCTAGACAAGAGTTGGAAGAGGTATTTAAGATTATTCGCATTAACCTTCCACATGACAACAACAAAATTGCGACGCAATTTACCACAATAATGACGATATAGTATCTCATCAAAACACTAACTTAAATATACTCAAAATTCGCATCAATGAAAGTATCACAATACCTTATAAAATTCTCATCTCAATAATGTATTGACACCAATCCTCCTTAATTTTGTCCAATTGATCTTTCGAGTAAGTAGAAGACTTGTATTTATCAAAGTACTACATAATATAACATAATATGATTTAGTTAAAACTAATTAAATAGATGAAATGTGTTAAATATATTAAAATAAATCATAAGTTAGAAACCCATACCATGGTTAGAACCTCTATTTGATTCAATAATATGATTGTTAGGAGGGAACATTCTCTCTCACATGAGGATACTAGAGGTAGCAACGATTCTAATGCCATGGAATAATAAGCGCCGCCATGGACAAGATGAATTGTAAAAACCTAACTTTGGAGGAAAATGTCCTTAATATTAATCAGTTCCGAGAAGAGCCTACCCCAATAGAGGAAGCAGAAATATTGGGTCCTAACCTGTCTTAGACGAGATATGGGAAACACTTGTCCCCAAAAGTTTCAAGTCCCCCTCTTTGGCGATGTTCGATGGGCGTAGTGACCATTATAAGCACATCGTCTCCATCAACATGGAGATGGCCATCATCGGAGCAACTAACTCTCTAAAATGCAAACTTTTGTTTGGAAATTTCAAGGATGAAACTCTACGATAGTACATGGGCCTATCATGATCCTCAATTGCCAGCTACTAGGATTTGGTAAAGAAACTCATACATCAGTTCGCAGCAAGTTAGCATAAAAAGATGTCTATCACTAGCCTTTTTAACATTTGACAAAGTTCCTTAGGGTCACTAAAGGAATACCTCTTTAAAGATTAAATTACCATGTGTTATTCTTTCTTTTTACTTTGTTTTTATTTACTTTAAGAACCTTGAAAATGTTTATCAAATAATTTATGTTTTAACTAAAGATTAACAAATATTCTAAAACAAAGAAGATAATTAATCGATCAGCCCAATTCAATTCATCATTTCTATTTTTGTATTGAATCTAATATTCCAAACACTTAATATAAGCATAATAATTTTTTATAATTATTTTAAATATTTATTAAAAAAAACCTAAGCCCTCACTTAGAATTTAATTAAGAAGAAACAACAAAAGAAAAGTTTCATACTCTCGAGTTAAAAGGCTCTTAAAATACAAACACACCATATTTATCTAATTTAAGAAAACTAATATTCTAATAATACGTGACAGATTTTCATGTCTATTTTCTACCTTGCCCTAGATTCAAGCAAAAGCACGAAATTTGTAATAGTCTATAGTAAAGTGCTTATAATATACACAAAGATGCATGGTAAACATCAATTATTTTCTAGTATAAAATTATTTTCCTTGAGTTATCTTTCTAGGTCTTCAAAGTTGATTGCTCATTTTCACTTTTGGAGTTGCCTTTGTTCTGCCCTAAGTGAAGAAACCTTTGCCTCCAACTCCTATTGTAATTGTAGTAGCTATTATGGCGATTCCTTCCGGGCAAAGGAATTTGATAAGAAGGTGGCATTTTTGGATGAGTTTCACCATTATTGCTGTTTGGCACACCAACAACAAATCTCTTAGATTGATCAGCCATGTTTTTCAAGGAAGAAAGTGGTTTTTCTAAGAGTTGTTCACTTGTTCTTACTTTGATGCTATTTAATACGAATATCATGGACCCGGTTTTATAGATGGAGGAAGAATAATATCTATATGCATTATTGCCGAAGCTTAAGAGGAGAGTATTGACTATTTTATTAATAGAAAATATTCTCTTTACAAAAATATCTATGTTATTTTTCTTTTTTCAATCATGCTCGTTTTTTATTTATTTAAATTCATGATATATTCATTTAGATAACTATATCTGGGAATATATTATTCGTTATGTTGGTGTGTAGACACTTGGACAATTGGTGTGTTGAAATAAAATATCAACACTTGGATGGTTGGACACGCCAGAGATTCTATTTGGACTCGTATCTAATAGGACTCATCGAATAGTATGCCAATTATGTATCTTGTCGTTTATTGTTTTTCACACACAATATTGTTGAAAACTTAGGTTCTAAGTTAATTGGAAATTAAAAAAATAAAAAGAAAATTGAGAATGATTGAAAGAGTAGTTTCTATTAGAATGGAATTTAATCACACATATAAAGAGAGAGAGTTATTTATATGGTTATAAGAATGCATTAACTAACTAACTAAAAATTAAAAACAGTGATATTTTTCTTGTGTTGCAAGTTACACTTGTAACTTTTTAACTGTGACTAACAACAATATACAAAACTAAATTAATTTTTAATATTCTTTTTAATTTAGATTTTCTAACCTTCTCATTTTCATTTACCCTTTAAGATTTTAAAATCATGTATGTTTTAAGGGTTTTGTTAAGATGTTGGTCAATTATAATGCAACCTTACGATATTTAATGCTTAATCATTTTTTATCAACTTGATCTCTACGGATATGGTATCTCATTTCTATGTACTTGCTTCTATGATCAATGGTTCATAGAATAGTTTGTCTAATCAATTATTTTGTTTTTGGTTGTGCTTTGACATGAGTATTCCATGGTTAGTTATACCTCTAATGTATCTTAGGATTCTCTTTACTGCAAGCAAGAGACATAACAGTGGTTTCTCCATGAATCTACTAACCAATCTCAAATTATAACAAATATGAGGTCTTGCATTGCAAAGATACCGTAATGAGTAAATGACATGACAAATCCCCTGACTTTATGTGTGTCGGACATCGTTATCTTTGGTCGTACCCCAAATTTCATGTCGTTATGCATAGTCATAAAAAAAGTATTTTAGAAATGATAACTTTATTTTGATATTAATAGCGATGTATCTACACAAGTGATAAATGATTCAAACATAGTATTTTATATGACTAAAGAATAGGAAACATAATCAGGATGGTTGGCTGCGGCTTATTTATTCGCTCCTTATGGAATCTTCAATCACTTTTAGAAGGATAGATTACTATCTCGTTGAGTTTCTAGATGAGATAAGTGACATTGAGCTCATGGCTATACCTTCTCCTTGATCTTTCTGGAGAGCTTGGTATATTCTCTTTGCTTCCTCTAGGTCAACATTGATGGTAGCTAGCTCTTCCTGTAGACTGTGGTATTTAAGTTTGAGATGGACCGACGAGGCAACAACATCTTGCATGGCTGCAAAGGATCGTCCCAAGATACATTTGTAAAAACTTCTGCAAGGAACAACAAGAAGTTGAGAATTTATCACTCGAATGTCCTCTTCCATGCCAACGAAAACTATCAGTTCCATATATCCTCAGGTATAGGATGTGGTTCCGTTGAATGCCTAGAGATCTGAGCCTTCACGTGGCAGTAAGCTGCATTTGTTCAAGTCTATTTTCTCGAATAAATCCGAGTACATGATGTCATAAGAGTTGTCTCCATCAATGAGGATCAGAGATACGTCAAACTTCCCAATTGTGGCAAACATCACGAGGTGAAATTTTTTGTTGGGAATGCATATGACTTTCTTTGGTTCTAGGAATTCCACCATAGGAAGGTTGAAGACTTTTTCCAATATGTTATACTCCTTGTGGTAGACAACCATCATCTTTGCAATTTTTATCTTCATCATAACTTTGGAGGTAAGTTTTTACTGATGTGCTCTTCGATTATGGCAGTGGTGTATGTGCGCTAACCTTTTTTTCCTCCTTGCTCTCTCCACTTGTCATGACCATCACAATCTTTGAGGGAGACTTACCCTTAGGTGAATCCTCTCTATCATACTTTCCTCCTTTTACATTCTTAGATAACCAACCTCTCTTGATCAACTCTCCAATGGCATCCTTCAATTGGATTCAATCATCAATGTGGTGGTTGTGGCTTATATGGAAGCGGTAGTATTTTGATTTATCTGTTAGAGACATCTCTATAATGGGGTAAAGAGGCCAGATTCCTGCTTTCTAAAATTTGGTAATTACACATTCTTGACAAATATTCTCATGGGAGAGCGTTAAAGGAGTGTACTTGTTGTTTTTTCTAGCATTCCTTGATCTGAATCATCTCAACACCGGTGTGACTCCTTTTTGGCAAGGCGACTGGATTAATAAAAAGTTGAGGCGGGGTTTACTCGTGGATAACTTCTCTTTTAAGATCATGTAAGACTCGACTATGGTTAACATTTCTTGGACGGATTTTTCCTTCCTCTTTCTTAATTTTTTCCTGAAAGGGTGGTCCCTCAGTAGACCGTTCTCGAAAATCCCACATTGAATACATTCTTGAGTTTCTTTTACCTTAATAGAGATTGTATGATCAGTCAATATATAACTACAAACTTTCTCTCTTCTCCTGAATGATCCCTCTTAGGGCAACTTCAGTTAGATGTCGTCACTTTTAGGCTTTGAAATGTGTAGAAAATCTTTTACGAAACTCCGTCGAAGAATAAATACATTCGTCGGGTAGGCCATATAACCATAATCGAGTTTGTGTGACCTTGGTTAGCATAAAAAACTTGCACCTGGATGCATCGTCAGCACTAAAGTAACTCATTCGATCATCAACAAGTTTCATATGCTCATCGGATCCCTTTTTCCGTCATAATCACTCACTTTGGGTGGTTTCTCCATAGAATTTTGGATCTTGATCTCTAATATTCTTACTGACAGCGGGTGTTTCAGTTGCACCTTTCTCTAAGGATTTTCTCGTGAGCTAAGGAAGGAGCATGACTACTCTAGTCTATACCAAGGCTGGTGTCATACCCCAAATTTGTCCCACCCTTTCTCTAAAATTATATGGCTTATGCATCCCGTAATTATCATGTATGTATTCTCCATTAGGCCATCTAACATTAGATACATTCACTACCGACAAAGCTTGGCACTTAAATCAATGTTCATGATATTAGGGTTAACATAATGTGCTAGGGTTTCATTCTTTTTGCAGGGTTTGGTTCAATTGGAGACTCAATATCAAGGATTAGATCTTTGCCCCTTATACTCAAGGCTTGAATAAAGCTCATCACTCCCAACACTTTGGTCTCATCCCTTATCTTATTATGCCTATCATATCCACAAAAATTGAGGTTTATTTCCTTAGTCATGTGACATTTAAGAGGGTCTCAATCATTGTTTGAGGTGCAAGATTATTAAAGAAGGCTTGATGTATGAATGACAAGCTAAGGTTTCTGTTGACTTTTCTTCATCAAAGGAGGCTCAATTGTCAATCAAATCTCAAGACATGTGGTTATGGTTTTCATGCAAAAGAGGAAGAGACTTTTCAATTGGTTTTTCTTCACAAATTGATTTTAATCACTCTCAGGTGGAACAAGTCAGAGATTGGACCGTCTTTTTATTAAGACATCACGAGAGGGTTGACTTTTGCTGCTCATTCTCCATTAATATTCGGCCATGGTTACATTAGTGGAAGCATACATGGAACTTTGTGGAATTATTAAGGCATTAAAGAAAGAAAATTGAATTTCAAATTTGAAAAGGAGGGAAATTGTTTATTCCATATTACTTGGTTGACAAATTCAATACCAAAATAAGAATTTCACTAAAATTTACAAGATCTCAAGATGAATTGAAGTACTATCCTAATTTATTTCATTCAAGATTACAAGTTGATATTCCATTACACCTTGAAAAATTACACAAATTACCATATAAAGAAAACTATACGAAAGCCTATTGTTTCTAATCCAAATTGCTAGACCCAAACTCCATGATTCCATCTCAATATTCTTCAAGATCCTTCATGTGACCTCTTTAACTTCAATGCCAAAACCATGACGTGATCATCAAGCTTTACACCATACCTTCAACCAATTCATCAAATAACCTTGCATAATCAAGAACAAATCAGCAGCTACATATGTATGATGACCTGCACAAATACAAACCCTACATCAATAAGGAGACCAAGACAATTAACAAGATGCTCATTTAAACCCAAGCTAACCTTTCCCAGCTTCTTAACATCACTCAATCACAGTAACTAACCTACATTATTTTTCTCTAACCTGCATTCTATTTAAAATCAACATATATACCATAACCTTGTTGCTATCCAAACTGTGCCCTTCATTGATGAAAATCAGAAAATATACCAGCAGTTAACAGTGACACAAATTGACAACTAAATGCTAACCTCAGCTCAACTAACAATATTCATAATAGAAAGTCATAAATTAGTAACTACTAACAGAAAACCAGAAACACACACACACACACACACACACACACACACACACACACACACACACACACACACACACACACACACACACACACACACACACACACGCGCGCGCACACACACACACACACACACACACACACACACACACACACACACACACACACACACACACACACACACACACACACACATATATATATATATATATATATATATATATATATATATATATATATATATATATATATATATATATATATATATATATATATATCAGGAATCAGAAATAAAGAGGAGAACAAAAAAAGTAATTTCCCAAAACTAAGTCAATCCTGGTTCACTCTCAACAAACACCAAACTTAGTTATAACTAACTGAGTTGATAATTATAACTAACTGAGTCACTCT